ATGTCTTTTAACAAAAATATTTTAGAACTTTAAATTAAACTCCTTAAATCTTTGTATTAATTTTTAAAAAATTATCAAAACATCCAAAGTAATATATTGCAATCTTTGGCTGATATCTTATTAACTTGAATTAATTCTTTGACATTATAAAGAACACTATATAAAATTAGAGATTTATGTACTATGAAGAGAAAAAAAGGCAACTCTAATTATTGTGTATGTATCCTCAATTATTAATTAGCGGTGTTCATGGTTTATATTAATTAAAAACAAAAGATAACCAATTTAATCGATTTTAAATTTTTAAAATAAAAAAAATAAAAATCAATATCACATGCATACCCCAAACAAAATAAAATAAAAAAACACATAAATTAATAAAAAAACGTGCAATTACCATCTAAAATTTTCCCATAGTTATCCTTTAATCATAGTAAAAAAGACATACAATTATCATCTAAATTTTTTTCTTAGAAACAACTAAACTAGAATTAGCAAAAAGTAGAGACAATTGTTGTGACTATTCCAATGATTGTATTAGGTATATATTTCAGTGATGAGATCGGCTCTTTTGGACGGACTTTGGGAGGAAAAGGAGTACCGAATGAAGGTAAAGTTCGAACAACGAGTGTTGAAGTTCCAATTGCTTAGCAACAACAATTTAGATGTCGCATTTGCTTATCTGAAACGGTAATAACAATTTAGAATTTAATATTATCAAACCCACCTTCTTTTTTTTATTATTAAAAAAGTATTTAATATGAATAATTTTTCTATAAACAATTTAAAGGGGTGTTAACTTATTGATTATTTTAAAAATATTTATTATGAATAACAACATACAAGTTTTCACGTCATAACTTTAAGCCTATATAAGTTATAATGGAGTAAATAGGATGTGTTACATGAATTATTGATATCCATCCATCCCAATTTGAATTTTTTTTTTTCTTAAAGATTAAAAAAATATTATCATTCCATCTCAATATTCAAATACGACACCTCTAATTAAGACTAAATGAATACTTACCAATCTATTACTATTTTTGATAGTATAAGGCAAATATTGTGTGACCTACTAAACCAATTTTCCCAATATTTTGACTAGAAATATGGTAGCTACTTGTCATTAATTAAAGAATAAAGATCCGTGAGAATATCCAACTCCGAGTTGTATGGTGCTAGTCTTTCTCTCTTTGTCAAAAGTAGGAAAAGCTAACCAAAAATAAATTAAATAAAAATAATTTCAACTTTGAAGTTGAATTTATCCAAATTAAAAAATGTCATGGATAAGAAGAGATACATCTAATTTATTCATCCATTATATTAGTTGGATGGAATTGGGTCTTTTGAAAAGTTCTAAGTAATGTATTGTCACATCCAAATTAAGCAATACTAGTAATACTAGCAACTCTTTAGGACCAAGAATTTAATATTAATATCAAAGAGGATGCGTGTTAATCCTTATATACTTTTTTTTCTCCGTTCATTCAGTGTTTGATATATATATATATATAAGTTTCGATTAATTTAAATTTATATCGTATAAGAATTATTGATGAAGAAAATGTTCTTTATCCATGTAAAATAGATATTCGGAATTTAACCATGAGACTTCTAAATGAAAGTGAATGATTATATTTGTTCCATCAAAACATTCGAGTATTAATGGAAGAAACGCTCTTTATAAACAACAACATGCCCAGTGAAATTCTATAAGTGAGGTCGGAAAAATAGAGTGTATACAGATTTGTTATTCCTATCTTGCGGAGATAGAAAAATTATTTTTGAAAGACGACTCTCGGCAATCAACATGAAGAAATACTTTTTATGTATTAAAATTAAAAAAATGACTTAAATTCAAATTTGACACCTCTTAAAACGAAGGGAAAAGGGCTTGATATACCCCTCAACTTTGCAATTTGGAGCTGATATACCCCTCGTTATGAAAGTGGTACATATATACCCTTAGCGTTATACAAACGGCTCACATATACCCCTACCGTTACAAAATGAGCTCACTTATACCCTTCATTTAACGAAAGTGAAAAAATTAGTTTTAAATTTATATTTTTGACTTTTAATTTTTTTTAAAATTATTTAGGGGTATATATGATTCTTCTAGCAAAGTTCAAGGTATATTTTAATCTTTTTCATACATAAATTATTTTTTGACTTCTTTGATTATCAGTATTTGAGTTTCTTATTCTTATTTTATTTTTTTCTTTCATTCCTTATTGTAAAGAAAAAAATTAAACTAATTTTTTTTGTTGCTATATTATAATTTAATACTATTTTTTCGGATATATTGTAATTTAATTTTGTATTTGAAGAAAAAAGTTGGTCAAATATAACAAGTTTTACAAGAATATTAGTGAAACATAAATAAATTTGACCATCAAAATATAAATCTAAATTAGTCATTGAAACAAAAAAAAGTCAAAAAAATATGTTTGAGGAGGATTAAATATACCCATATGGGGTTATACTTTTTTTAAAAAAATAATAAAAAAATTAAACTAAAATTAATTTTTTTCATTTCCGTTAGAGGAAAAGGGTATATGTGAGCCATTTGTATATAATTAGGGGTATATATGAGTCACTTTCATAAAAAGGGGTATATCAGCTCTAAATGTCAAAGTTGAGGGGTATATCAGACCATTTTCCCTAAAATGAATAATCATATTCATCACATTGAAACGACAACCAATCATATACACCAACCACCTTCTTTTCTTTTTTCTTTTTTTTTTTTGGTTTATTTTCACTAGGTGTACGGTATCCATATTGGAGCTCGACTAAATCTAGAGTCTTGCCAGGAAGTCACACGTTGGGGTGTAAAACGTTTCCTAACAAAGACAACTCCATACTCAAGAGAATCCAAACCCGAGATCTCTAATTAAGAATGAAGAAGTACATACCACTCCAATACGATCCTGATTGGTCAACCACCTTTTAAGTTCAATCACAATAACTTACGTCTACTTTTCAACCCTCATAAGTCATAATTAACAACTACCCCGAATCTACTTGAATGAACTATGTAATTAAGTTAATACATTAATCATTTGATAAGTATATCTAGTACTTGTGTTATAGAGTAGTTTGCGTAATTAATTGTAAGTGACCAATCCTTTTTAAAATGCTTTTGTCATTAAATTACGAAAAAAGAATATGTAATCACGTTACAAATAGTATTAGTTAATTAAACAGAGTAATTTACTCTATATAACTAATACTATTTGTAACGTGAATCTTATTTTACAAAAATCTCAAAATAGAGAGAGGATGTTTATGAGATTTTGTCATAAATATATCCTCAATAAAGTACGAGGTTAAGTTTTTATTTATATTGTTAGAATATTTTTATAAATATAATTTTTTGTATGATTATTTTCGTCCAGAATAAATTACATTATACTTCAACTTGTACGTTTTTTCAGCTTCCTCCACACACAAAAAAAAATTGTTTACTACAAATCAAATAATTTATTTATTTTAGAAACTTGCCCAAACATTTTGACTCTTCAAAAAAGCATTCTTTTAAAATATTAATTGGATTAAACACCTCTCTATATTTTAGACATGATACTATTTTTATTGTAGGATCTATATTTTAGAGATTATACATTTAGAAAACAAATAATATTTCTCAATTTAATATATTTTGTTTATATTCGTATGATATTGACATCAGAAAGTTTGAAAATGGAGTAACATGATCAACAATTGATTCAGGTTATAGATCACTCCAATTTATTTGAGTTTGACTCATAAATTTTGTTATTGTATATCAATTTAAATAAGTAATTAGAAATGGTGGATTTAATTAAAACTCAATGATGACAATTAAATAAGAGGGTTGTGCTCGTTGTGAGACTTAACCCAACATCTTACGGTATGAACTGACGATAGTCATGCATTATCTATGTCTGTGTTTCCAAAGGCACCCCTCTCTTTTAAGAGGACTCACGGCATGTCAAGCTCTGATAAGGCTCTTCGCTTTGCATCGAATTGAACCACTCAAAATTATCACATTACATCCTTCCTATTGAGTAGTCTCTCCAACTCAAATTATCTGTTGTAACCTTTTTCAAAAGTTATCTTAAATTATTTATTGTTTTTAAAGTTTGAGATAAGATTAATTAATTATTTTTTTCTCATTTAACTCCTAATTGATAATAGTAACTAACTAATTATTCTTGAAGATTATACCCACCTTAATTATATAGGGTGATATTATGACTTTTTAAATACCAATAAAGGGTAAAATATATTTACCTTTGATCCCATTTTATTTATCCAATATATTCCCTCCATTTCATATTACTTGATCCTTATACCAAAAATAGATTTTTCATTAATTTTATTTGTCCAATTAAAAAAATTAAGATAGTTTTATCATATTTTCTCTCTATCTATCTTTATTATTAAATGACCACATAAAATACTAGGCAATCAAATTTAGATTTTCAAAACTTAATTAATAAGACTAGCTTACTTAAATAAATCCCTAATAAATTCTTTTTTAAGAGAAGTGTCTAGTCGTACAAAGTAAAATAAAACGGAGGAAATATTAAAAATAGATTGATAATTTATTAGTCGCTTAATTTTTAAAATCAAAAGATAATTTCTTATTATTAACTATAATCATTTTTCAAACTATTGAATTTATTATATTCAAAAATTAATAGATTAAAAATATTAGTACTTATTTTATTTATCATTTCTTAAGAAATGTTATAAGCCAATATTAGACAAAATAGACCAAAAAAATAAACAAAATTACACCTAATAATTAACCAATAGTTTTCTTAAGAACATAAAAAAAAAAAAGAATTACTACAGATAATTTGAGACGGGAAAATATATAATTAGTGTAAGAAAATAAATTTAGATGTTTCCAATGTTGACCGGACAATAATACCCTTTTAACAGGACGGTTCGGTTTTTTTTGCTCATCACACTAAAAAGCATATATATACCCGTAAAAACTACCTTACATCATTTTTGTGGGGTTTTAGCACTGTTGCTTTCGGTTTTATTTTATTTCTCAAACCCAGAGGTTTTTCATTTCTATCCAAAAACAAATCCATTGAAAAAAAACTAAAATCAAATTCAACATAAATTAATTTTCATCTTTTTTTCTGCAATTTTTCGTTGTTTGATTTCGAAATTCTCGAAGAATCTGTACAGAATCACATCCAGATCTCTCTCATCAGGTAATTTAAACTTCGTTTTGTTTGGTTGTTTGGTTGGTTTTTGTGATGTGGAGTATTTGTTCTGCATTTGTTTGATTTGATATTATTGTTGATTTGATTGCTTGTAATTTGGTTGAATTATTGAATTTTGGTTATTTTATGATGTATTTGATTCGAGTATGTTTGATTGATTATTTGTTGGTGGAATTCAATTGGATCGTTGCGGAGATCTGATCAGATTTTCTGAATTTTTATTTTTATTTTTATTTTATTCGATTGCGTGAATTTCAAGGATTCTACAGAGGTTTTTGCTCATAACTCAAAAAAAGAAACTGGAATTTGCTGTTGGATGAGTTTTTTTTCTTCTTTTACTGTTGGAATTGTAACTTCAGAAAAGTGATCAGGTGTAACTGATTGGTAATTGTCAAGAGGTATTTTATTTTTCGGATTTTTCGAGAATTTGTCGAGTGTTTTGCGGATGATCCGAGTGTTGAACTTTAAATTGCAAAATTCGATGCATCAAATTGTGAAAATGGAAAATGATTTATGTATGTTTTTTTCTGTATTATTGTTGATTGGAAATTGGAGGTGTTGGGACGGATCTGCTTTGTGGAATGAAAGTTTTCTTTTGAAGTTATGTTACTCGGCTCTCTGAATTCGGATGAGTGTGTATTGGATCAGTTATTTCTTGTTAGCTGCAACTAGCAGGTTGATATATTCGAGGAACAGGCAAGATCTTTTTTATGATCTCAGCATTCCAAATTGTCAACTCCAAACATCTTGAGGGGCTTAAAGTACTATGATAAAATGCCAACCCGAAACTAAATCAAGTAGTGTCATTATATTATTGTGCCTTTGCATAGTAATTAACTAATGTCCTTAATTTTCTGATTTGGGAAAGATGTATATTTTGGCCTTTTGCTTCATGCTATACGGTATGATTTATAACCGGCTTTTGTTTACTTCTCTAGCTTGAAGTGATATTGGTGTCAACGGCTCATTGTACATGATCATCACATATTGGCATGCTATCTGAGATATGTCGTCGAAGAAGAGAGTAAGGCATGGTTTCAGTGGCTATGAATTTCCTGTTATACCAAAAGCTCCTAGATCAGTTAGAGTGAGTAGGCTGAAATTGTGAATATTATCCATTCTGTTACGAGTTTTCGTTCTCTTTTTTCGTTTATGTTTTTCTAAATATATCTGCAATTCCGATTTGTTTCAGAGGAGACACTCGCACAAAAATATAGACAGTGATCAAATTTGTGCATTTGAATTACTGGCGGCTGTTGCTGGTGAACTTTTACAGGAAAGCGAAAGCTCTGCTTGTAGTAATGCAGTGGTAGGAAAAGATAAGATCTCCGATTGCAGGGAAGTTGTGAAACGTGAGCAACTCAAAGAAGATAAAGCTGTGAAATCAGAGTGCTTTGACCAGGGGAGTTGTGTCGAAAGCGCTTTTCTACCGGAACCTGCATTGCAAGAGCCAAATCTCAAGTATAGATTGGATAAACCTAATCATATAGAAAACAACATTTTTCACACTGAAGTAGAAGGCGGAGCCTCTAATCTTGAGGATGTCTGTGACAACAGAACTGATACAGGTACTCAAAAACAGCTAACTGACGGCAAGCGGACTGAAGACTTAACTTTGGCTAACTCTTGCAGTCTGAAGGGTCCAATTGAGAAACATGTGAATAACAATTCCGCAATTAACTCAGACAGTAGTGTACAGTTGCCCTGGTACAGGGCGGTTCCTAGGCCTTCTTTTGGAAAGCAAAGGAACAGTGTTAAGTTAGGTATTAGAGATGATGACGAAAATTCTTTTGGATCTTATCGATACAACACAAACATAAGAGCCTTCAGGCAAACATCACGTATTGGATACAAAAGTATGAGAAAGATGTTGACTTCTAGACGCTGGAAAGTAGCTCCTCAGTTGAAGGACTGGGAACGTTCATGCTCCAGTAAGTGGAGTTATACCTCTTAGAATTTTGTTACTTACTTTTAGCTTGTTATCGCTCATCTTCTAACGGCATGTTTTTGGTGTTTTAGAATATGGAATGAAGTCCTTTCACAGAAACAGGAAAAGAGTATGTGCACTAGAAAGATGCCGATTTGAAATTCCATCAAAGAGAAGGAAATTGTGTCACTATAGCTCGGTTGTCGCTTATGATCAGCAGGCCAATAGTAAAAGCATTTCAAACTCACCTGAAAAGGGAATCAAGAGAGACATTACAGGAGCGGGGGCTTCAGCTTCAGTCAGAAATCATCGAAAGAAGGATTCTAATGGTAAGACCATTGAAACTTTTTTATTTGTTGATTTGACACATTGTTTGATTTTTTTTAACACGCGTTTGATTTTTTTTCTCAGTAAAATTTAGCATCAAGTCATTCAAAGTGCCAGAGCTTTTCATCGAGGTCCCAGAAAATGAAACTGTTGGTTCCCTGAAGGTAGGCATCTTAGTTAGGTTTATGATGAAGATTACTTAATCTTCTGCATCGAGGGAATTATACCAACATATTAAGGGATTTGACTCGGTTTATCAACTATGCAGTATTAAATTTTAATAATTATAGTATACTCTTGTGGATTTTGAAGATATCCAAGATCTGATTAAAAGAAAATTTACTTTCGGATAATGCAGAGGACAGTAATGGAGGCTGTAAAAACTATTCTGGGAAGTGGATTGCGTGTCGGTATGGTTGTCCAGGGGAAGAAGGTCAGAGATGACAATAAAACTCTACAGCAGGCTGGTATCTCTCAGAGTGGAAACCTCGATACTTTGGGTTTTACGTTGGAGCCAAGTTCTTATCCAGTTTCTCCATCGTTGCATTCTAAAGATCTTCCTGCTTTGTCACCATATGTTGCTGATCATGAACTAACTCGGTATAGTCGACGACTTGTACATTTTGTGCTTTTGACTACTATTCCATTAGACATTTATCAAAGTTAAAAAAGATCATAATTTCAATAGATTATAGCCTACCATACGGCAGTTTATTGTGCTTGGACTAATATAGCATCTTTGTATTCAGGCTGCCACCTAGTCCTATCATGGAGTTAGAGCTTCCAAGTTCTCCGTCGGCTCCTTCAGAGACTAGGTTGGACGAGCATGATGAAGATTACCATGAATTGGCGCTATCACCTACAAATCCTATTGATCCACCAACTGATTTAGCTATTTCTGGTTCTAGAGCCTTAGTCGTTGTTTCTCCTCTGAATGCTGAGGCACATCCGGTGGTTCCCGTGAACCCAAAAAATAGATGTTCTGAACTTTCACAACGTAGAACAAGGAGACCGTTCTCAGTCGCAGAAGTAGAAGCGCTAGTTGAAGCTGTGGAGCAGCTTGGAACTGGAAGGTATCTGAACTATAATATCATGTTCTGTAAGTTTGTGAGATCCTCCAAGCAACTGCATTCTTATTAATCTCTGATTACATGCAGATGGCGGGACGTCAAAATCCGTGCTTTTGAGTATGCTGACCATCGAACTTATGTTGACGTGAAGGTTAGACATCTAATTAGTGCATTTTTATCTTTTTTCGCATTGATGATGAAAGAATATCGTATTATATCACTCGGACACTTGGCTAATTTTGATAATTGATGTTTTATATCCTTTGATATTTCTGCATGCTATGCTTAGCTCCAAAGTAATTATCATCGTATTTTGGTTAAAAGATGATTTACATACTTGTATGATTCCTTAGTTATGATATTGTAAACTTGTTTAGTACTTTTTTTGCTTACTAAATATATGACATCTCTGACTGATTGCATGAAGAGGCGAAATCAGAACACGAGTTGTTCTTGATAAGCGTAGATCTTATACTGTCTTAATTCTGTAGTAGCAAATCGAATGATTGTTTCTCATCATCTCGTGTGACGTGGTTTACATTAGGATAAATGGAAGACATTAGTCCATACAGCAAGCATTGCCCCACAGCAAAGAAGGGGTGAGCCGGTACCACAGGAGCTTCTGGACAGGGTCTTAATTGCCCATGACTACTGGTCTAAGCAACATGGGAAGCATCAAGCTGAACCTTCAAAAATGACCGAGGCTCAGATGCAGAACATTGGCGCCTTAGAGAACAACAACAATTCCGTCTCAATGCCAAGCAAGATGGTCGGGTCAGCTATATGAATCCCTCATTGTTTAAAATACTATTATAGGAAACACAACGATGAATTGTAAAGAAAATGTCTTTCCGGTGACTAGTTAACGCAACTCAACACACACCCTGTTTATCCTCTGTGACTGGAAAACAGGTAGTTGTAAATGATTCATTGAATAAAGCAGTCTAACAAACAGGCATTAGGAGGGATCTCTTTGTTTTTGTTCGTTCCATTCTTTCATATAATTGTTAGCATGTGATAAGAATATACAACAATTCACATGTATTATTATGTACATTAGGTTGTTTACTGGTATAACTTCAATATACATTAGTTCATTTACATTTTGTAATTTTCATATGATATACTTGTCCTTGAGCCGAGGATCTATCAGAAACAACCTCTCTACCTTTCAAGGTAGGGGTAAAGGTTGCATACACACCATTTTCAGACTCCACTTGTGTGATGAAAAGAAGGTTAGAAAGAACTACATAACATAAACAAACAATCGAACTTGATCTTAAACATTCTAATTATAAGAATGCATATTTAGACACCACAATTTCTTAAGAATGCATATCTAGACACCACAACTTGTATCTACTGTGTTAGATTTTACACTCTAACTTATAAAATGATTATCTAGACATCTCCAAAAATTTATGTATCATGCCAACATAGGCTGTCTACGAGACACAATTGGGACGAGTTGGAGTTAGTTGCCTATTGAAACAAAGTTGAGATGTCCGGATATGCACAGCTAAAGTACTTGTTTGTTGAAGTCAAAATTTTGAATATGATTTTTGTATTATGACTAGAAAAAAATTGAACTAAAAATGAAATTAAATAATAATAATAATATGGAAAAAAAAACACAACAATAATAATAATACATAAATAAATAAAAGTTGACAGCGAAGTAATCCCTTCCTTTAAAGCAACACGTTACTTGTGGCTTGAGATATAAAGACCAACGTAACTTTAGTCTTTAGATTGCTTCAAAAGATGGGCAATGAAATAATTCATGTATTTATTGAGTTAATAAAAAAAATATTCATATTTGATATTCATATCAAACAAATGAATGCAAGATTAGTCTCTTTTTAATTTTTTAGCACGTTAGACTATAGTTAGGTCGATATATGTTTCAATTTTAATTTGTGACTCTTCTAGCTAAATATTTTTGTTTGATGTAATTATATAAACATCGAATGTAAATAAAAGGTGTTAAATTAAAGCTGCGACCAAACTGGGACACACAAATACATAGGCAAAGAGGTTGTTACAACTGACTTCTTCTTACGTTTAATTTAAGTAAAGTAGCTAACAAATAAATCTACCGACAAGCACCCTTTTTTGCCTTGCGAGTGGTTTGGTTGCTAGTTAAAATTACGTAATTATTAATAATAAATATAAGATTTTAATGTGTTGAATTTTATATATCATAACTAAAATGTTACCGTACAATTTATAAATACATATTAGTTATGCTAATTTTAATAAGTAAATCAACAATTAAATGAACTCATCCATTATGTGATCTGATTAATCTGAATGTGCATTGAACAAGAGAGAAGGCAAAAGAATCAATCAATCCACTATAGTAAGCAATAAGTCCAATTTAAAAAGGTTCATATACGAAAGGACGCAAAATAATATCTCAAGCGAGAGATTTAATTAATCAAATTCAAAAGCTAAAATTTCACCTCAATTAATAACAATCCCCTTTGATGTATTGAAATTGATATCTTAAACTGTTTATTTAAAATATATGTATGTATAAAATCTACTAAATTCTTAACAAATATTAAATTTAAATTCATAATTTTTATTACCCCTCTGTATCAACCATGACTTTTGAAGTTGCAGTAAAGTGATAAGTACTTCTCCATTCTTAATTAGAGATCTCAGATTTAAGCTATGAGTATGAAATTATCCCGAAAGAGTGAACTCTTCTATACAAATTCAAATTAATCGAACGTTAAAATAAAATAAATTCACTTTTTTTGTGGTCACAAATATTTACCTTATTTAATACAGCATGAGACCACTGACATAACTTCATCTAACTTCCAAAAAAAAAAGGTTTAATATTAAATTTAAAAGCAAGCCAATGATGCAACCAGCCTGGCAAATTTCTTTATAATAATATAAATATCTTATCCGTTCACTTTTCAATAAAAAAATATCAGATCTGAAACATTTCTTGTTACTGTGGAGTAAATAATATTCTTTTTGTTAATTAATTAAAGGAGTTTGGACTATCTGAAATATTCATGTTGAACCAATAGAATCTTTTGATTCTTCTGTCACAAAATAATATAGGGATATATTCTAACAGTTTTCATCTTTTTAATTTGTTAAAAGTGAACAATCTTAATTTTTATAAATGTTTTAACAAATTCTATCGGCTAGATCTAATTAAAACCATAAAGAAAAATATAATTACTACAACACAAAATATAGACCAAAAATGACTAGTCAAAAGCGGTGTTTTAAAAAATGAAGGGATATGTGAATTGTGATGGTGAAATCATTGGTGGATCCTACAAATTACTGTATAATATAATTAGTCGAGTGAAATTTCACAAGCGAATGAGAAAATAATGTGTATACAGATCTTATTTTTATAGAGTAGAGGTGATATTTATGATAAAATCTCAATTTAAATAAAAACTTTACAAAACAGTTTGGAAAAAATAAATTGAATTTTATTGTTTTTGAATTACTTTTTAAATTTCGAGTTTTTAATTTTATTATATTTTAAATGATATAGTTATACATGTTAATGAACTTTTTATGATAAATTATAAAATTAAAATAATTGAAATCGGTTAAATTCATAATCGATAATCTAGTTCCTCACCGTATTATTTTGAAAAAATTACATAAAAATACACATCTTATTTTATTATAATCTATAAAATTTCCTATTATTGAAAAAAATAATAAAAATTTCCTCTCGAATATACATCTCTATCCCCTATCAGATACATTTGTATCCCTTCTAGGATACATCATTATCCCTCTAGGATACATCTCTCCCCTCTCAGATATATCTATGTTATTAAGTAATGTATCCTGCAAAATTTGTGAGCCATGTATCCGCAAGTTTCCTGATGTATTTTGAGATCCTATAAATTTAATAATTTTTTGTAATTTAAAAAAAATAGAAATAGAATATAATTAGCTCTTAAAAATATGTGATTTTATGTAAATTTTACTTCTTTTTTTTTGGCTATGATTAGACATCTAGAGAACTTAGTGTGGATAGTGGCCCACATATACTGGGCCGAAAGGTGATATGGACCTATACTTCTTGTTCGGATGTTAAAATTAGTGCATAATACAAAATTTTAATATATATTTTTTTTCGTCTCATTTTATGTAGCCTTTTTTAATTTGACACTGTTCTAGAAGAGGAAGCGTAGCTGGCATGTTGAACCATATTTGTCAACGATGAAAGATAGCCCTAAAGTGAGCGGCCTGGAGATAGTATTTCTCAAATGTCAATCAACATGACAATCATGCCTACTTGATAACCCTTTTCTTTGCTCCCCTGAGTATCTTCTCTACCCTTAAATGTAAGCATAAAAGAAGAAATGGAAAGGAGTACTATAATATGCGCTATTATTTGAATCAGTTGTTAATCTTCTCCAGCTTTGATATAAAGGAATGAGGGATATCAAAAGGGAGCATGTTAGCCAAATAAAGGGCTCTGACGGAGGTGTAGTCCATGACTTTAGCAATAAGCTAGGTTAGGATGTAGTTATGGTATACGAAATATAACTAAGGTATATCTTTTTACTTAGAAATTGAATCGATCATCAGAAGAAGAATTAGGTCAAAAATTAAGATATTATGAGAAAATCAAACTTTCATAAAAAAAAAAGAGCAAATGAAAGACTTTCATAAAAATTCTTGTAGAATCGAGAATGAATTTTTCATTATGTACATATTAGATCATGAATTAGTAACTGCCCAAGTAGAACCTAAAAGATGGGATAGGTGATCTATAAGATCATCTAGCGAGGTTCAACCCTCAACATGGGATTTTTCTGAAAATCAAAACTAATTTTGTTGAGGAACGAAGTAACTTGTCACTTACCCGTATTTCTCTAGATATATCCATCTGTGTGTCTCCTAATTCCATGAAATCCTTAAAGCATGTGCGATTCATTTAGGATCCTTGTCCAAGAAGAAGTTAGTCACTTGTTCTTTATTTTATGTTAAAGGTCTAACTTCTAAGTGTTTAGCAAAAAATAGGAAGATTTTTAAAACTTATAGTCTAACGTAATCTTTAGATATTTGCGTGGTTGTAAATTATTTGGGTAAAAGGGGAATTTTAATGTAAAATTATTTTTAATTATAGTAAAGTAACATTATTTTTTAGATAGACTAAAAAAAAATGCTACATAAAATGAGACAGGAAAAACATAATTTATTTATATTTGAGCGAGTTAATAACTCACTTTTTTTTTTATTTTGTCAATTTTTAGATTTATTGGAAAAATTACTTAAATACACAACACTTATCTACCTATTCTCAATATTTCCCTACTCTTTTACTAAAATACAAAAATCCCTTATTTTCCCCCAATTCAACTTAACCGGATACTTTATTAGTTTAAGTATCCGCCCGTTATTAATTAAAGTATCTGCGCTGCTTTATTATGCATCCGCCCGTTAATTAAGTATTTGTGCTGCTAACAACTTAATAATTTAAGTATCCGCCCGTTATTAATTAAAGTATCTGCGATGCTATATTATGCATCCGCCCATTAATTAAGTATCTGTGCTGCTAACAACTTAATAATTTAAGTATCCGCCCGTTATTAATTAAAGTATTCGCTCTGCTATATTAAGTATCCACACTGCTATATTATGTATCCGAAAAACACTAAAAAAAGGAATTTTTGGTAATTAATGAAAGAATAGGGAAAGGAAGTAATTTCTTTCTTATACTATGTCATTTGCCTAATTTTTACATATTTTTTCCATTAAGTTCAGCAGATTTTAAACTTGGGCTGAAATGAAGCCTATCAACCCAGATTGATTACTAAGAAATTTTATATAAATATTTTTTAAACATATATTTATTTATTTGATATGTTTTTTACCGTCATAATATAAAGATACGATTTTTATTAGGTGGTCAAATAAATTATAAGAAAATAAAAATAATAACATTAAACTTAGTAAAAATCGAGCTAGTGGAGTTATGATCCGAATCAAATTTGGGAAAATTGTATATAATAGCAAATTATTAATTCAAATTAAATGCTATAAATATAGTTTGATTTAATTGTACCCCATAGCAAATTGTTGCTATTTTGCCTCTCTCCTGGTGAATCTCACTCGCCACTCTCGTTCTCTCCCTCGCC